CTTTGTTCTTTCTTCTTGTGTTTTAAGACAAATAGTTCCTGGAACTGTTTTTTGAAAAGGCAGAATATCTTCTATAATAAGAATTGCTGTAATCAGTTTCCAGTGGTTCACGCCTATAATTCTACCTACTCAGGAGGCTGAGATCTGAGTATCTCAGCTCAAAGCCAACCTACTGAGGAGGCTGAGATCTGAGTATCTCAGCTCAAAGCCAGCCCAGGCAAGAAAGTCTGTGAGAATCTTTATCTCCAATTAATCACAGAAAAAATTGGAATTGGCATTGTGGCTCAAGTGTTAGAGTGCTGGCCTTGAGCAAAAGGAGCTCTGGGTCAGCTTCCAGACCCAGAGTTCAAGCCTCAGGACTGGCAAAAATTAAAATTAATTAATTAATTAATTATTGATCTGTACCTTTGTGCTTTATGTCTTTTGTGTTATTTTTTCCACAGTAAATACATGTAGCTTAGTGTATCCTTGATTAAAGGAAGTTTAAAGAAGAAAGGAAGAAGAAGAAGAAAAAAGAAGCTAGTAATATAACTCAGTACAGAACAGCTGGCTGCCTAGCATAATATACAAGGCCACCCAAATTTGTGATCCCAAGCATCATAAATACAGAAAATAAATATAAAAAGAAAACAAAGACAAAATAGATATTTGTTGTCTTCATTAAAAAAGAGAGAGAAAAGAAGAAGAATGTTCTAAAATACTGAATGTGGAGGTACATGCCTATTAGCTCAGTATTCAGGAGGCTGAAGCAGTGATTATTTCAAGACTAACCTGAGCTACATAGTACTCAGGAAAACAAAACAAAAGCCTCCTACTCTCTATATATCTGTAGCTCTTTTTTTATTTTTTTGCACTTTTCCTGGGGCTTGAACTCAGGCCTGATCGCTGTCAGTGAGCTTCTTTGTGCTCAAGACTAGCGCTCCACGGCATCACTTTCAGCTTTTTCTGAGTAGTTTATTGGAGATAGAGATGTGGTCTCGAGCCACATCCTCAGATCTCAGCCTCCTGAGTATCTAGGATTACAGACATAAGCACTGGTGCCCAGCTAAATAGCTCTTTTAAGACCTATGGTTATCATTACAGGGAAGCTCTCTTGAATCTCCAGGACAGGATCAGGACAGATTCAATTCTCACCTTTTTTGATGATACTGACTACAACAAAGCATTGAGGTTCTCACCCTACATTTGAGATTAAAAGCTTGGAAACTGTTTTTTAATGTTATCTATGTTTTTTAATTCTTTAATTATAGGCAGTTACTGTTTCATCAGATTTGATAATATGACCTAAAATATTACCAATAATGAGAATATCAGCAGCTGATTATTGTTCAGCTTTTGTTAACCAGTATTATCCAAACCTTTCTTTGTATATTGTTTTTAATCCTCAGTATTTTAGGATGAGGGAATACTAAAATAATTTTTCTTAGCTGGGAATGTGGCTTAGTAATAGAGTGCTTGCCTAACATGCATGAAGCCCTGGGTTCAATTCCTCAGTAGCACAGAAGTCGTGCTGTGGCTCAAGTGGTAGAGTGCTAGCCTTGATCAAAAGAAACTCGTAGAAACAGTTCCCAGGCCCTGAGTTCAAGCCTCAGGACTAGCAATAAGAAGAAGAAGTATTTTTTCAATACATGTATGTATTCAACAAATATTAATTAAATATCTCCTGCATATTTCCTGGCATTTGAGCTATTGGGGCTTTAAAAGTGAATGAAACAGGCCAAGAGTAGTGGTTCATGCCACTCAACATGCATAAATATGATGAGTAGTTGCAGTATATCTTCACAAAGATAGAAATAAAGAGCTGTGGAAGCTTAGACAGGAATGATACCTAACCCATATGGGAGGAAAGAAGTAAAAGAAATTCAGTTTAGACATGATGTCATTTATTCAGAGAGAAATGTTTCATGGATGAAAAAAGGTGCTGTATTTTTTAAGTTATGGAATACAAGTAATATTTTAATAAATAAAAATGTGGTTCTAGCTACCAGATGCTGGTAGCTCACACCAGTAATCCTATCTACTCAGGAGGCTCAGATCTGAGGATCACAGTTCAAAGCCAGCCCAGGCAGGAAAGTCCAGGAGACTTATCTCCAGTTAATCACCAGAACACTGGAAGAAGCTGTGGCTCAGAGTGGTAGAGCTCTATGTAATCTGAGTGAAAGAGCTCAGGGACACTGCCCAGGCCCTGAAGTCAACGCCCACAACCAACAATAACAACAAAAAATGGTCTAGATTGAAGTCAATATAAGAATTAGAGAAACTTCCAGAAGGAACAAAAGGGTCTAATATTAGTCATAATAAGCTGAATTATAATGTAGCAGTAAATAAACTCTTGAATCTTTACTTTTTTCCCCCTCTCTCTTGTCCCCCTCCCCCCTCCCCACCTTCCCCTTTCAAATCTAAAATGGCTTGCTTTGACAAATATGAATTTCTCCCTCATGCTTCAAGTCCATGGTAGGGAGGAGATTACATTGTCATTCAAGAATCTAGTTCAGTAGGGTCTTTACCATCTGATGATACTGCATCTCACCACACTTCTAGAGTTCCTGCAGTAGGGACAATAGGTAAGACAACAGTTTTTGTTTTTTTTTAAAATCATACTCTCAAATGCTTTGGCCCTAGGGAGTATGAGTCCTGTGGATTGAGGAAGCTCAATATTAGGAAGTTAGGGTGTAGATTCCTCCAAGGTGCTCTATTATAGGAACAGGAGTGTATGTCACACACCTTCTATTTGAAAGCTAGAAAGCAGTGAAACAACACTTTGAAAATGCATATTTTTTCTCTTTTTAAAAAATTACCTTAATTTTAAAATGGCTCACACCTATAATCCTAGCTACTCAGAAGGCTAAAATCTGAGGATCGTGGTTCAGAGCCAGCCCAGGCAGGAAAGTCTGTGAGACTCTTATCTCCAAAAAACTACTCAGAAAACTGGAAGTAGCACTGTGGCTCAAGTGGTAGGGTGCTCACCTTGAGATAAAGAGCTGAGGGATAGTGTCCAAGCCTCACAACTGACAAAAAAAAAAAATCCTTAGGTAGTTGTACAAAGAAGTTGCCATTTAACAAAGCAATTTATCAATACAGTACATCTTGATATATGTTACACCTTTCAACATTCTCAGCCATCCCTCTACTTTGAAAATTCCGATGGAAAAAAAAATGATAGTTTGTAAGTTTAATCAAACTATTAAATAAGCATGAGGATAGAATGCCAACATTTTCAGAGGGACGGCCACAAAATATTTACTCTCTATCAGAGGATGTATTATAGCAAAACAAGAGAATATAACAGAAAAGAAAGATTTGGAATCCAAGATCATAGAGAGTTTTACACAGGTCACATCCCTGCCTAGAGCAGCACACACAACTAAAACACGAGAAGAGAGAGATGGAAATATATGGCATATTACTAATATGTTTGACCATATGAGAGATTTTATTGTTCTTTGAGAATGTGGCCTGTGTTTAGGATACATATAAAACATTAGCAAAGCAAAGCATGATGCATTATAAACTTGAGAATTACTGTTGTATAAGTAGGAAAAATATATAATAGCATTTTAGATGATTTAGATTAAATAGATTAAACTACTGATTATAGATAGGTGAGATGCAACTCTTAAGGTGATGGTAGAATATGAAACAGCTTAATCATATACAAAATATTGTTAATAAATAGTGTATAAAATAGAAGGGTTTTAAATCAATATTATTTAGAAATATAAATACAGTGGGTAGATATACTAGTACACTTGTAATACAGTGCTTGGGAGGTGGAAGTAGAAGAATCTTGAGTTCCAGGCCAGCCTGAACTACATAATCTGACCCCATTTCTAAATAAACAAACAAACAACAAATGGAGCTAACAGAAAAATGGCTAACAAGTGGAAGTAATAACTTTCAAGACTGAAGTGGGACTAGGACAGCATGCATCAGACAGGTTATAATTTGTATCTTATAGGACTAATGACTTTAAGAAGTATCTAAATCTATGATTTTTACTTTAAGAAAGGAAAGCACAAGCAATCAAATAAAAAATAAGGAAAAGCTCCATAGGCATTGGCAAATGAGATTATAATGATCTTAATGTTGAAGGGTGGATGTGGGCCAAGTTGCAGTTACTTCAGAGTCAAAGAGTAAAGCCAGGCACCAGTGGCTGTAATCCTTGAGGTTCAAAGCAGTCCGGACAGAATGTCTGGGAGATTCTTAAATGCCTAAAGTGAGGTGTGACTCAAGTGGTAGAGCCCTAACCTTGAGGGGAAAAAGCTAAAGGAGAGCTCCCTAACCCTGGATTGAAACCCCTTTACCAGCACATAAAAAAGGAGTCAAAGAATAAAAAAATTACTTCATATGCTGTAGAAGAATAAATTGAAAGAAACCAACTGGTATACAGTATTAAAGAAGGGGCTATTCATAATAGATATATTCTTCTTAGTGAAATGCAGAATGGGAAAATATATGAATTTCAAAAAGTTATAAAGAAGGTATATTGCATATTCACAGAAAATCCTCCATAAAACAGTACTTTATTTCTCTAAGTGATTAACTTCTAAAATTCATTTCACTTGAAATATCTTACTTAAGTCTCTGCTGAATTGTGTCAGCAGGGAAAAGTGAACTGTCTGTATGAGATAATTTTTATTTCATATCTAAGTAAAACAACTACTCAGGATTCTTTTATTTCAACTCAATATCCTAGATTTATAGAGGAGTGCACTGTTGTTTTCTTCTGATTCCTTTGTAAAAAGGACTGTTTTAAATAAGGTGAAATCTAGTGAAATAAAAGAAAAAGTGTCTTTTGTCCCCAGTTCCTATGTTAACCTGGTTGCTCTATCATCCTTGGAGTTCTCTAGTTCCCCTTCAGGTTCGAGTTCTTTGTTCAAGCTTGGTCCTGGGAGTAATGTTACCATCTTTAAATTTGGTCATGGAATGTGTTACACTGTCCCTCTCAGGGAAATGCTGCTCAGTTTGGCTTGGTTGGTGACGTTTATTTTCTTTGGCAGAGAAGCTGATTGTCGAAGGGCATCTAACCAAAGTGGTAGAAGAAACAAAGCTTTCAAAAGGTTGGTTCTCTGATTTTTCTATATTTTTTTGACAGTTCTTCTGGATAAATGTAGGTTAGTGTAAATTTTCAATGTCATAATATTTTAACCATCCGTTTATTTCTTCTGACTCTCAAAATGGCAATTCAGTAAACAATATCAGATTATATATAAAATAATTGGATTTCTCCTTTTAAAAAGATGTCTTAATTGGAAATTCTTTCAAAGTGGTTATATATGTATGTGTTTTTTGAAAGTAATATTTGTTACAGGTTTCTTTAGTATTAAAATTTGGTTATGATCTTTCTGTCCGACCTCCAGTATTATTTTCATCTTTGATACAAAAATTTTAATCAAACACAATGTAAGCTTTTGTGTAGTAAAAAATGCTTAGTTTCATTGGAGAAGATGGTAATTTTTAATTTCTATGCTTATTTAATATTTCCTTACCTTTTGACATCCCTGTATAATTTAAATGAAATCAATCAGTTTGTCAATGAAAATCTTCTTACATTTGGGGACAAATAGTTCAGTAACAGCCAAAGTAGTTTACTGTGTTAATTCTTTGTATTGCATTATCAGAGTTAGGGAAAAAAAGTGAACTTAAAACATCATATTGTCAAGTTACTTTTATGTATAAGGAAGTTAGGCAAATCTGGTGGAATGTGCTCATTGTCATGGCAGAACTTTCAGCAGGCTTTGCTGATATAAAATTTAAATATAGATACCTAATCTTTTTGGTCCGTTAAAACAGTGATAAAATTGTAGAACATTTAATTTTAGTTGCTCTATTTTGCCAAAACAACTAGATTCATTTAGCTTTTAAAAATATTTTAAAAGATGGTGTTATTTCATATATCTAGTGGCTTTCATTTTGGATTTTGTGCACGGTAGAGACCATATTTGGAGAAAGAATGCCTAAAATATGCAGCACTAATATTGTTCTGGCAAACAGGCATTGAGTTTCAGAACAGTGAACTATTTTTAGTACATATGGAAGTTTTATTTCATCTTACTAAAGTGAGATGAGAACAGACTTTAAAATAGGTTTTACTTCACCACCTAAGTACCTATTCAGATAAGTTGGTGGAGTAGCCTGCACTTGGAAGTCTGAGGAAAGCTCGGGTGGAGGGGTAGAGTCGCAGAATGGGTGCTTCTTGAAAGAATAGTAGTATCTTGCTGTCTTAAGAGTTCTGTGTAATAAATTGCATCTCTGGTACATTTACTTGAATTTAGTGGTATCATCTTTTTAAAAGTATTTGTACACTATTAGTGATTTTTAAATATAAACTCTAAAATATAAATTGAAATTTTTGAATAATATGGCTTTTTAATTTTTATTGTTAATATAAAGGTGATGTACGTAGGGGTTGCATTATGTAAGTCAGGGAAAGAGGACATTTCTTTTTGGACAGTCTCACCTCTTCCCTTGCACTCTCCCAATTTTTCCCTCCCATCCCCACTCACAAGTTATAGTTATTTTCAACATAGTATCTTGGGAGTAGACTGCTGCATTTGTTTACCCTTTTCCCACCATTTCTGTCCCTCCCCTCCCCTTCCAAAGACAGATAAAAACAAGACAAAAAGAAAACAAAGCCAGGTGTCATTGGTTCACGCCTGAAATCCTTGCTACTCAGGAGGCTGAGATCTGAGGATTGCAATTCAAAGCCAGCCCGAGTAGGAAAGTCTGTGAGACCCTTATCTTCAATAAACCTCCCCCCTAAAAAATAAAATAGCAGAAGTGGTTCAAGTGGTAGAGTGCTGCCCTTGAGCAAAAATCTCACAGACAGCATTCAGGCCCTGAGATCATGCCCTGAACCAGAGGGGGGGCAGAGGGGGGGCAGAGGGGAGAGGGAGAGAGAGAGAGAGAGGAGAGAGAGAGGAGAGAAAGAAAGCAAAGGAAAAAAAACAACTCTTGTTTCCATTTCCTGGGGTTCATTTAAGAATATGGCAGGGAATGTGCATATGTGGCAGAGTGCTTGTCTAGCATGCATGAGGCCCTGGGTTCGATTCCTTGGTACCACATAAACAATAAATAAATTAATAAAAGGAAAAATAACCATTAATTTTTTAAAAAAGAATATGCTTTTGACCCAGCAGTTGCACTTCCAAATTTTTATTGGTTTGATTGGGTTTGGGTGTGTTTGTTTTTTTTTTTTTGAAACAAGGTCTCATTATGTGGTTCAGACTGGTCTTAAACTTGTAATCCTTTTACCTCAGCTTACTGAATGTTGGGATTAGAGGTCTGTGCCACCATACAGAGCTTGGTTTTCATTTTAAGGAACCAATTAGATAAATATGCAAGGATGAGCAGGGAGCTGGTTGCTCACCCCTGTAATTCTAGCTACTCAAGAGGCTGAGGTGTGAGAAGCTATTTCAAAGCCAGCCTAAACAGTAAAGTCATAGACTCCTATCTCCAATTAACCACCAAAGACTCAGAATAGAGCTTAAGAGGTCTAGCATCAGACTTGAGAAAAAAGGCTGAGTGACAGCACCCAGGCCCTGAGTTCAAGTCCCAGGACAAGTACTACATATATAAAAGGAAGTTTCAATACATTTTAAAAGCAATGAGAAAGACATTACACATCTGTAATTTCTGAATTCAGTAAATGAGACAGAAATACTGCAACTTGAACCTAGCCTGGGTGATAGGTTGGTCCTGTCTCCAAAACATAGATAAAGTGACAAGAAGGAAATATAGTTAATGATAATTTTTTTTTTTTTGTCGGTCGTGGGGCTTGAACTCTGGGCCTGGGCGCTGTCCCTCAGCTCTTCAGCTCAAGGCTAGCGCTCTACCACTTGAGCTACAGCGCCACTTCCGGTTTTCTGGTGGTTTATTGGAGATAGGAGTCTCACGGTCTCTCCTGCCCGGGCTGGCTTTGAACCGCGATCCTCAGATCTCAGCCTCCTGAGTAGCTAGGATTACAGGCGTGAGCCACCAGCGCCCAGCTAATGATAAAAATTTTTATTAAATAAATGTGGCATGTAAGTCCACACAATGAGTAGAATTCATCCTTGAAGAATAATATACAAGCCAGGCATCAGTGGCTCATACCTGTACAATCCTTACTATTTAGGAGGCTAAGATCTGAGGATAGCCGTTTGAATACAACCCAGTCAAGAAAATCCTACTCTTATCTCCAGCTAACCACCAAAAATAGCTAGAGTGGAGCTGTGGCTCAAGTTGGCTCAAGTGGTAAAACCCTGGCACACCTAGACTCTGTTTTCAAACCCCATTCTTGGCATATACACATAAAGAATAATACAAATGCAACTCCTTTGTGCAATTACTAAAAAAAAAAGATAATAAAAATAATTTAAAATGTTTTCAATCTGGCTATAAGTGTCTTGAGACAGTATGATCTTGATTTCAAGGCTTATACAGGCTTATAAAGACTATATCAAAAGCCAAATACAAAAAAAAAAAACAAAAACTTGTGGTTCAAATGATAAAGCACTTGTCTTAAATGTATGAGGCCCAGGCTCAATAATCTGTGTGCCAGAGATAAATATACATATGGATTAGATTAGATAAGATAGATAGATGTTTGTATGGATTTTTTTTTGTACTAGTCCTGGGGCTTAAACTCAGAGCCTGGGTGCTGTCCTCAGCTATTTTTGCTCAAAGCAGCACTCTACCACTCTACCACAGCTCCACTTGTGGCTTTTTAGTGGTTAGTTGGAGATAAGAGTCTCATGGACTTTCCTAAATGGGCTGTCTTTGAGTCACAATGCTCAGATCTCAGCAGTGAAATAGGAGGGCCTGGTGCAATGTGCTAGAGAGCTGGGATTATTGGAGATCTCTGTACCATATGAGGATCAGACTGCTTGTGCTGTTAGGAGAAACAGTATAGATACTGAAAGAGCAGCAAAGGCAGAAAAGAAAAACTAAATACTCAGTTTGGGGCCATCAGATGTAAAATACAAAATAAAGCAAAACTAATATTTTTACAACAAAAGAAAATACACACCAGGCGCTGGTGGCTCACGCCTGTAATCCTAGCTAATCAGGAGGCTGAGATCTGAGGATCGCAGTTCAAAGCCATCCCAGGCAGGAAAGTCTGTGAAACTCTCATCTCCAATAAACCACCAGAAAACTGGAAGTGGCACTGTAGCTCAAGTGGTAGAGCACTAGCTTTGAGCTGAAGAGCTGAGGGACAGCGTTGAGGCCTAGAGTTCAAGCCCCACGACTGACCAAAAAAAGAAAGAAAGAAAGAAAAAGAAACTACACTGGAATATATTGAAAAATGCTTTAGTGTCATGATCATCAAGGGAGAGTCATGTTTTTACTGTTCCCTTTATTTCTTCCAGACTGACCTCCTCTGTATCCATTTATAGAGATTAGGTATATGAGCCTGTTTTGTTTGAAAGTTTAACTTTGTAATCAAAACTAGAACGTTCTGAAATGCCTGATTAAGGCACACTGTGAATACAAAAGAGGTCACAGATTAGATTCCCACGGGCCTTCATGGCTGGTGACTTCACTACTAACCTAAATTCCTGCTATTACTCAGCAGTGACTTTTTACCACAAATGGACGTGGGACAAGAAGCAAAGATTTCTTGCCACTTATTATACATTTTATAAGCTGTCAGGTGTTCTTCTATATAATTTTGTTTTAATATGTATTAAATATTTCGACCCTGCATGATTTTAGATGTCTTTTATATCTTTTAAACTGGAATATATCTCTTAAAATTTAGATTGTAAAGCAATTTATAGCCACTAAAAGTTTGCAAGCAACATGTAACTATAGATAACATTAATAAATATCCACCAGGAATTTACCTCCAGAAATTATCATTAATATCTCTATTATAGCTGCCTGTGGACTTTGAAAGTATATATAACATTAAAAATTCTGATTGCCTGGTGTGATGTGTAGTCCCATAATCCCAGCATTTGGGAGGTTGAGATAAGAGGATTGGGAGTTTGAGACTAGCCTAGGCTACATAGTGAGACCTTATTACTGAATGAATAAATAAATAAATATTGATGTACGTGGGGTTATAGTATAGATTCTGATCTTCATCTTAATATTTACTTAAATTAGTAAGTATATCTTGAGCATTTTTCATTCTCAATACATATATCTCATTTTTCAATAATGAACAATACTGCAGTGACAATTCTTACTTATACTTTACGTGAGAAAAGACAGGCTAAAATCAACATACTAGAGAAGTGAAGACCTTTAAAGGTGATAGAGCGTAAAGCATATCTTACAGAATGAACAGGCTAGATAGAGAGAATGGTAGTTGAGGTTAGAGAGATACAGACTCAAGCAAAGAATTGAAGGCTGTAATGAGCTGGCAGGCTCTAGCCTAGAAAGAAGCACAATGAGTGAAGCAGAGCTCCTGTGAGAGCCATTGCAGGTATTTAGAACTTAATTCTGTTAGGGCCTGGTGGGGAATGGGGAGATGCTGTAGGATTTGATCAAAGAAATGACCCCCTTTGTAAATTCTGTTCTAAAGGATGCTATTTCAGATGAGAACCTGAGGCCTAATTAATTACTGGTCATCAATAGACTGTTGGCTTACAATTAGGATTTTTAGAGCAATTAGTTGAAAATGGCCTAGAATGACTTCATTGGATCTGCTAGAATATCTCTTAGAAATAATTTCAAAACTTTACTTTTGAAATTTTCTTACTGTGATTTAGTTATGTTTTCTTTAGAAATAGGCATTTTGTTTTAAATGGTGCCTTTATTGCAAATACTTGTGCTTTCCAGAATTTTATTATATAACTGTAAGCATTACTAAGACAGCCTTCTGGCTATTGTTTTCCATAGTAGTTTTCTTTCTATCATCTTTATACAAAGTCCACATTGTACTGGAAATTCTGCTGTATTTGTTGCAGTTTTGTGAACTTTAGCAAAGCTATCTTCATTTTGTTTCTAGTTGGCAAGTGAACAGCCTTGACCAAAAGCCCAGCCCTCTCTGCTCAACAGAGACATGCCACATTATAATTTAATACAATTACGTGTATAATACCCAGCATTCCATTTGGTGCTAGGGTGGTGAAAAGTAAGAGATTCAGTGATCTTGGTTCATTTTTAAAAGTATTTTACATAGCAATAGATTTTAAACATTTGTAATTTGAAGCAGTTTTCTTGATAATACGGTATTATAACAAGATTTTCACTTTTTTTTTCCTTAGTAGAAAACCAGGCAAAAGCAAAAGAATCAGACTTATCAGATACTCTGAGTCCAAGCAAGGAAAAGAGCAGTGACGATACTACGGGTGAGTTTAACAGCTTTTACAAAACTACAGGTATTGTACTGTACAGAACTGTGAGAATACAGGTGTCAAGGTTTGTGTTTTGGGAAAAGCAGTGCTTTCATTTAACAAGTCAAGCACTAGAATCTTGACTTATTTTGTTAAAAGTACCTTCAACTATCTAAATAAAAAAGCTTTGTAAATTTTACTTATTTATTTGATGTAGTTTAAGCTTTCTGGTGGATGTGAATATTATTTGTAATTATCTCTCTTTTTTCCTCCTCTGTAGATGCCCAGATGGATGAGCAAGATCTAAACGAACCTCTTGCTAAGGTATCTCTACTAAAAGGTACGTTAACATGTTTTCATAACATTTTATAAACCAGGTCATCAGATTCACCTTTTGCTACAAATTTGTCTGTACAGTATGTCAAATTATAAGTTTTAGCTAAGAGATTAAAACAGGTTTTGTAAAGTAGTATGAACTAAAATATGAAATTGTTGATGTTGTTGCCCAAAGGTTCAAAAAAAATTTAGAATAATGCCCATGTAATTGTAACCCCTCTGTACAGTATTTTCACAATTAAAAAAAATTAGAATAATCTGGATCAGTCAGCATTATATAGGAAAAGCAGTAAATGAGAGGAAATGAAATGCAGCTGTATGCCAGGCACTGGGTGGGTCATGCCTATAATCCTAGCTACTCAGGAGGCTGAGATCTGAGGATCGCAATTCAAAGCTAGCCTGGGCAGGAATGTCCGTGCGATTTGTCTCCAATTAACCACCAGAAAGCTGGAAGTAATTCTGTGGCTCAAATGGTAGAACACTTGCCTTGAGCTGAAGTGCTCAGGGACAGTGCCCAGGCCCAGAGTTCAAGCCTCACAACTGACCCCCCCCAAAAAAAAAAGAAGAAAAGAAAAGAAAAATGCAGCTGTATTTATGTTAATCCTCATGTCTCTGATAGGAACTTATTAGTACTTTGAAGTAGTTAAAAATCTTACCTTTCTATAAAGAATCATTTGTTTGCTGTTATCCTATGGTAGCAGCTGTAAATTCCATAATTTCCCAGTCCCCTTATCCTCTAGTACATATCCCATTTTAAAGATATTCTTCAAGGTGTTTGGGGCTAAAGAATTTTTAAGTGTGCCTAAAATAGGCCATGCATGTAATAGTAAACTTTTAACTTCTCTTACCTCTAAAAAGAAAGTGTATTTCTTGATATTTACTTGTTTAAAATTAAGCAGATAAGAAATAAGTCAATATTCATGAACATGTTTGTAAAACAAAAGTGTCTTGAGAGGGCGTAATTATAAACCTGTGATTGTCAACATTTATTGTTTATTATACAGAGGAAGAGTTTGGCACAGTGGGTTAAACATTTTGGGAAGTTCTTCAGGACCAGAGCAATAGGCTAAAAAAAATTATTTTTGTAGAAGTACCTATTGTTCTGCATGGGCTATCAAAGGACATCACAGTGTGATCCCTGGGTTTGAGATTATGTGGAATGAGGCCTTAGTTTTATCCAGCATGACCCTGCTGCTGGCCTGGTTTCCACTGGTGACTGTGGCTATGGCTGTAGAGGGAGTAAAAAATGTTCCTAAGTCCAAAAAGCCTGGATTTGACTTTTCTTTCCCATGAATACTGAAAAATCACAGGGCTTCTTTTTTTTTTTAATTGTTATTATAAAACATGTACCGAGGAATTAGAGTTCCATAAATCAAGAACAAGTACATTTGTAGCCAGGTGCTGGTATCTCACACAAGTAATCCTAGTTACTCAGGAAGCTGAGATCTGAGGCTCGCAATTCAAAGCCAGTCAGGCAAGAAAGCCCATGATACTCTTCTCTCCAGTAAACTACTAAATAAAAGCCAGAAGTGGCACTGTGACTCAGATGGTAGAGCAATAACCTTGAGCAAAAAGGAGTTCAGGGACAGTGCCCGGGCCCAGAGTTAAATCCCGAGAACCGACAAAAGAAAAAAGAAAAGAAAGAGTACATTTCTTTCAGGACATTTTACCCCCTTCCCTCTCCCTTCTCTCTCCCCCCATTTTTACCTCCTGTCCCTACCTACAAATTGTATAGTTCATTTTCAACATAATGTGTAGTGAGTACCATACTTGCATTTGCCACATGGCTTCTTAATCTACCTTTGATTGACTTCTAGAATGGAGAAAGTTTTTGAGGGCTGCTGATCCATCCAGCCAATTACCAATTTGTCCTTAAATATTTAAAACCATAATTTCCAGCATTCTTACTGATCCATAATCACCTCAGAAGACAGTGTTGATAAGACAATGTCATAATAGCAAATATATGTTAATTTGTAAGTCCAGACCAGTCCAGGAATCTTACCTGCTCTGAAATGCAATTGTGTAAAATGTTGTTAGTGATACTGGGAAAAGAAAAAAGAAAAAACCAAAACCAAAACCTGGAGACCTTTATGGAAATGTGAAAAAACAAAAACAACGGAAGTGAATGAGTCATAAAGTTTGCTGGGCACTGGTGGCTCAAGCCTCTAATCCTAACTATACAGGAGGCTGAGATCAAGAAGATCATAGTTCAAAGCCAGCCAGCACAGAAAAGTATGTCAAACTATCTTCAAGCCAGCCAGCACAGAAAAGTGTGTGAGACTATCTCCAAGCAACCAAATACAATGTATGAAGCTTGTTTGGATAACATTTAAACAGTTCAACTAGAAGAGAAATTTGAAAAAAATGGGGAAAATGTAATGCTATGTAATCAGTATCAAGAAATTGCTTGTTTTTTAATATAATAATATTGTGTTTAGTATTTTATAATCTTTTATATTTTAGATTTTATGTAGTTTATATTTTTATATTTAAGTATATATGTATGAAACTTTTAATTGATCGGGAATACAAGAAGAGAAAAATCAAGATACCTTCTCAGACAAAGGAAATATTAAAAACCACATGCTAAATAAAAACATGGGTTAGATTTGGGGGTTGATAGGTATAACATTTCATTGTTTTATAAGTTTGAGTGACTCGTGACAAAGTTTAGTGGCTTCTGAGCACAGCAATGATATGATCAGACCTTCATTTGGGAAGTTTACTGATTACTTGGAGTAGGGAAAGGCTACATGTAAGGCCACATTTAGGAGTTGTAGGTAATTGTTGAGTTTGAACCAGGATGATTGCTGTAGAAATTTAAACCAAAAAATACAATCCAATTTGAGGCTATTGTTCTTGTCTTTCATCCTTAGTTATCTCACCTACAGTGCATAAGCATGAAAAGCGAAATATAGGAGAGAAATAGGAAGTCATATACAGCCCTAGCATTTGACCTTAAATGACTGAAAGGATAGTGATTTCATTACCAAAAATATCTATTTCTGGAAGAGCTGTCCTGCTGGGAACAGTGATGATTAGTTTGGCCCCTGATAAACAAGAATGACTGCAGGTTCTAATTTGCCTAGAATTGTTTGTCTCCATTGTCCCAACGTCTTTTGTTGTTGGTGGTTGTGGGGCTTGAACTCTGATCCAGAGTGCTGCTCAAGGCTAGTGCTCTACCACTTGAGCTACAGCGCCACTTCTGGTTTTCTGGTGGTTTGTTGGAGATAAGAGTTTCATGGACTTTACTGCCTGGGCTGGCTTTGAATCACGATCCTCAAATCTCAGCCTCCTGAGTAGCTAAGATTACAGGTGTGAGCCACCAGCGCCTGGCTTGTCCCAACATCTTTATCAAAAGCATTCATTCTCATTTTCAAAGATGACCCACTTTTATATGATCACACCAGGAACTGGAAATTAAATATAGTACAGAACAGTGCAGGGACTAAAAAGTCATTTCACTTATTCCTGAGATCTTTTTTTTTGGGTCTGGGGTGATACAGACTGATGTATATATAGAAGGAAGAGACAAGTACTTACGTTAAAAGCATTTTAATAAGTGTAATGGAACTTTGGAAAGCACCACTTCGTGGCCAAGGACAGAGTTCCCAAAGGAAATGATAAAAATAAATGAGGCCAGGTGCCAGAAGCTCAAACCTATAATCTAAGCTACTAAGGAGGCTGAAATCTGAGGATCATAGTTCAAAGCCAGCCCAAGCAGGAAAGTCTGTGAAACTCCTGTCTGCAGTTAACCACCCATAAAAAGCCAGAAGTAGAGCGGTGGTTCATGTGGTAGATCATAAGCATCCATACCCTGAATTCAAGCCCAAGGACCAGCACAAAAAAAAAAAAAAAGAATATGCCAAAGGGGAAAGGGGAACTGTATTATACTCATGTTCATAAATAGAAGTCATATTTAGAATAGGAGTAACTTGACTCTAGGCGTCAAGTATACAGGAACATGAATGTGGTAGAACATAGGCCCTGTGGGGAAGATGGTCAGAAAGATGAGATGTGGTCAGACAAAGGAAGTATCCAGGTTTGGGGATTCTCTGCACATGAGTGAGTGCTGGTAGCATGAGGAATTTCTAAGCAATGAGAGTGATAAAGGAGCCAACCACAGATCCACCTATCAAGAAGGAACCTGGCCTGTCAGAAGAAGGGCTAAGGGGTGAGAATTTGAACTATGAAAGGCCAATGTCAAAGGTAAACTTGCAGTTCATCTGTCACCTGAAACTGTCTCACATACCAGTTTGGCACAATCAGCTTTCTCTGTCACAAAAGTGGTTCTTACAAACCAACCCTAGAAATGCCAGTCCTTCTAAAAGGAAAAGTGATGGGAGTAGAAAGAGAATGCACCCTGGCCTTAGCCAGATCGCTTATGTCAGTTGATAAGATGACACATGCTGTAGCTAGATGAGCTTTTTAATAAGTATGCATGTTTAAACAGATCTTGAAAGAGAATACTTTGATTTGACCCTTTTACCATGTGGCTTAGTGTGTCTGTACCATGTTTGCCACAAAAGTCAGATTTAATTTAGGATATTTTTATAGAAGTTCTGTGGATCAGGGCTGATAGTTCTATACATAGTATGCATTTACAAGACTTATTAGCCTTTGTATGAGAAAACCTCACACTAGCCCAAACCTCACACTAGACAGTTCTGAAGATATTCTATCATATTAAAGGAACAAAACATTCTTTGGCTTTGTTTTGTTTTTATTTTTATTTTCATTGAAGCAGTTTAACTGTGTAGACCAGGCTGGAGTTACAAATATATGGTCTTACAACCAGCTGGGAAAACAAGATTCTATTAACATTTCCAACTATCATCTCTCTCTCTTTTATTATTATTATTATCTTTAAGTAGTTGAACACAAGAATTACCATTCCCTATCATATCTGTTATTTCCATTTAACTTACACATCTTTTTTTTGTTGTTGTTGGTCATGGGCCTGAACCCTGGGCCTGGGCACTGTCCCTTAGCTCTTCAGCTCAAGGCTAGTGCTCTACCACTTGAGCCACAGCACCACTTCCGGCTTTTTCTGCTTATGTGGTGCTTAGGAATTGAACCCAGGGCTTCATACAAGGCAAGCACTCTACCACTGAGCCACCTTCCCAGCCCTGACTTACACATCTTAATAAAGTGGAGGCAGGTTTGATGGGGCTGGCCTGTAATCTCAGCTTTTTAAGAGACTGAGGCGGAAGATTCATAAGGAAACCTGTCCTACCTAATAAGACTCCATTTCAAAAGATAAGTAAAATGAATTTTGCTTAAGAAGGCTTTCATTTGCCTTAATCTAGATGCTTTTCACTATTACTTGTCACCAGACTTTGCAAAGGTTTGAAGCAGATTTGTAGAAGACTCCTGTCCAGGACCAAGTACAGTGACATGAGTAGGCCTAAGCTTAAACAACAAACAAATAAAGCATTCCCCTATGCAATCATATGAAAAACAGTGAGCCTTGATCAACCTTAGCTGGAGATTTATTCATTGCCCTTCATCCAACATTGATGCTTGGTTGTCTGGAAAGAAAACTCCATACTAACTACTTGTTTGATTGTATGCATTTGTGTTTATTATATCAAATGTGATTTGTTAAAAAAAAGTTATCTCTACTTGTGTGGTCAGTTACCATTTAGAGCCATGTGAATGTATAATTTTGAAATATGGTATCTTATTTGTTCTAGTTAAAATACTGATCCTTTTAATTATTTAGTGGGGACAATAAGTCTCTGAGTTATAATAATAATAAGTATCCTAAGAAGAGCTATCAGAATTGTAATCATGTGTTTTAGTTCTGTTTATGATTCTTGCCTAACAAATTATTCGTATAAGCAGTTACCAAATGGGGATTTCATAATTCTTCACAACTTCTATATGTATTTGCTGACATTCTACTAGAAATAAGAATCATTTCTTTTTTTTAAGTTTCTTATATTTATTTGTTTCAGTGAATTTATGGATTTTTATTGTATTCAATCTCTTCTAGAGACATTTTTGTTTTGATTTGAAGGGACATCTACTAACATATAGTCAGTAGAGACACAGAAATGTACTAACTGCTGCCAGTATTCAGGGCAGCCTTACAGCAAAGGATTATTCAAGTCAAAATTGAATGTAACTGAAAGATCAAAAACTCTTTAGCATAGAGCTAAGAAAAAATCTACTCAGGAGTTTTATGAAGTTTTGTTTCTCTTTTTTTGAAAAATGAGATTTAGGCATCATCATACCTCTCTCCTAAACAGTCAAGACTTTGTCCTACATGACGAAAGATTGAAAAATGAAGATCAAAAGATTTGCAGAGGCTGGGAAGGTAGCTGAGGGGTAGAGTGCTTGCTTTGCATGCATGAGGCCCTGGGTTCGATTCCTCAGCACCACATAAACAGAAAAAGCCGGAATGGTGCTATGGCTCAAGTGGTAGAGCGCTAGCCTTGAGCTGAAGGGCTGAGGGACAGCGCCAGGCCCAGAGTTCAGGCCTCACGACCAACCAAAAAAAAAAAAAAAAAAGGCTTTGGAAAGTGCAGTGGTACACATCTATAAATCCAAGTAATTCCAGAGGCTGAGGAAGGAGAATTGAAGCCAGTCTGGGAGCCATAGTATGACCCCTATTAAGGGGGGGGGGGGTAGGAAAGGGGAAGAAAAATTCTGTCAGAGAAAAAGTATAGCTGATGTGACATCTTTGCCACTGGGGAAAAAAAAAGTCTTTGCCTGACATGCTTCCCCCAGTCCAAAAAAGCTTTTGAAGGAAGAATTGATAGTTGACTAGAGTAAATGAATCTAGAGCCAAAAATAAGTTTCTCTTTCCTCCAACCCTTTCTTTTTCAAGAATAAAACATCTTGACAGGAAAATAGTTATCTAATACATAGATATGAAAATACATGTAGGTAATATCCAAGATCAATATATTATGAAACGTCATTCTTAGCCCTATTCTGATTAATTGAAGTTGTGGCTGAAGTATTTCATGGTAGTAGAATATGAGTTACCTGATGATATGTTTGTCAGGAGTTTAGCCACAGAAAGCTTTAATGCAGTAGAAGAGCTGAGTCACTAAAGAGAAAGGAGATCAGGGAAATAATATATTTAAGATGTAATACTGAATTAAACCATTTAAGGTACCTCAGTTAATAATTCAGAGTTTGAACATCATGTTAGGGAAATAATGACAAAGTACAGCTTTCAACCTAGTTTTAAGTGCCTATTTCACAACTGACTGCTAAGATAATTTCCTCTTAAAGAGTTTTTTTTTCCATTTCCAGAGAAATTTCCAGCAAAATTATTCTTTCTTGTCAAAATTTTAAAAATTGGTGAATATAGCATATTTTAAACCTTGCATAAGTTCTATACGAGTGAAATGTATAATTTGATATATATTTTATAGTGACATCATAAATTACATTGTTTAACAGTATTTATGTTCTTTGTCTAGGGTAATATGACTAAAATGCTTACTATAATTTGCTTTTAAGTTTTATTTAACTCAGTTGTGCTATGTTATTTAACTGTGCATGTCTAAACATGAAAATGTTTGCCAGTCTGTTATAGAGATAGTTGTGGTACTAACACTTGCTTTTAAAATAACATGTTTTTGTCAGATGACTTACAGGGGGCACAGTCAGAAATTGAGGCAAAACAAGAAATTCAGCATCTTCGCAAGGAATTGATTGAAGCCCAGGAGCTAGCTAGAACAAGTAAACAAAAATGCTTTGAACTTCAAGGTGAGATCAAGATTACTTTGATTCATTAGAGGATATATGGAGGCAGCATGATATAGTTGGATGGCCCCAAACTTGGAGTCCAGAAGCATGGTATATTGCTCTAGATCCATAACTTCATTAGATTAACCTCTATACCTATGTTTCAGATCAGTAAAGTTAAGGTGATTTCTATAATCCCAGCTAATCATCAGACTGAGGAAAGAGGATCATGAGTTTGAGGCCAGCCTGGTTAGCATAGTGAGATTGACTCAAGAAAAAAGCATAGTACTGGAAGCATGGCTCAAGTGGTAGAGAACCTGCTGAGCAGGTGCACTCTTGAGTTTAAATCCTATAACACACACACACACACACACATACACTGTCTACTAATTTTGTTCTGGCCTCTTTCTTTCCTAGAAGCTTGCTTATCTGTAGTGTCAGGCTAGTGGAATCAGTGCTGTTTCTTAAAGTTTGTTTCCATTCATTCGCAGTATTTACCTTTCTGTATTTAATTAATATCTTGGAGAACCTTAAAACGAGGAAGTGAATGGTCTATGGAATCCTCATGTTTTCTAAAATGACCTTCCTGACTAGAAAGAAAATTCATATACCAGGAAAAAAGGAACTGAAACTTTTCATTACTATTTCCTTCCTTTCTTACTTCTTGAAGAAATTGGTATATTGAAGAATTGAGGAGTGGTTTTATAGCATTTGCCTATCATGCATAAGGCCCTGAGTTCTGTCCCTAGCACTATGGCACTATGGGAAGAAGGAAGGAAGGAAGGGCTGAAGAAGGAAGGAAGGGAGGGAGGAAGGAATGAAATTATTGGTTTTACTTTACTTAGAAGGAAATTAGTATTCATTTACTTGAACTTTTCACACATACATTTAATTACAATAAAATATTTTTTAGTCATTAGTTACTTAAATTCAATGCTTACTCTTGCTTGGCAGTAAACATGAGGATTTAAGACTAAAAAGTTAATATTAAGACTTGAAGTTTCCATAGAGCACTTTTACAAGCCCTGATCAAACCCCAGAAACCCACCCAACACCAAAAACCCTTTGAAGTTTGTCATGTAACAACTGACGTGATGATAGAATGCCTAGAACTGTGTTACTTACTGCTTTTTTGTGCTCCTAAAATCTTAACAGCTAATACTGATGATACTTATGGCCTAATGTTTATGTCCTTTAGTAAGCTTTAGGAGAAAATATCCTAGGAACTCCCAATTATTCAATTGTGAATTCTTCTGTTAACTCACAATATTAGATAAACTGTGTTTTTACTTTTAGCTCTTTTGGATGAAGAAAGAAAAGCCTATCGAAATCAAGTTGAGGAATCTGCTAAACAAATACAGGTTCTTCAAGGTATGGCTATTGAAGATTGCTATTTTTAGTGATTCAAAAGATAGGGAAATTAAGGGGCAGAAGGTTCCCCTTTGTCATGGCTTTGATTCTTCTCTAGAACCTGCCATAACTAGATTATTGGAGCCCTTTTGTTTAAAGAAAATATAAGGGGAAATTCTCCAGGAATATATTATTAAGCACATAGAGTAAAAAGAGAATTGTATTTAGTAAAACTGACATTCTTGAGTCACTACTGGGAAAAGTTGGGGGCAGGAAATATGTTTGAGCCTTAACACTTTTAGTTTGCTGATGTACCTAATGCTAAAAACATTATTTGCACTGCAACAAAAATTATGCCACATGGAATGGAATGAAGGTCTCTGCACTGCCTTCATTAATAATGGCTTCTAGCCATTCAGTACCATCATTTGTCCATGTCTTTGTATGAATTATCATGAGATCATTACAGGCATCACTAGGAAGACCCTTGCCTGTCAAGATTACTTCAAGCTTAAACTCCTAGAAGTCATAATTGTGAGATACCACTAGAGAGCACTTTGTTCCTGTTCTGTTGTAAAATTCCTAAAGAAAAATTAATTTGTCTTCATGGCCAAAATAGTAACCAATATTATTTAAAAAAATTTAGCTTGAGCCTGGCGCAGAAAAAGTCCATGAGACTTTTTACCTTCAATAAACTACTCAGAGAATGCCTTAAGTGGTGCTGTGGCACAAACAGTAGAGCACTAGCCTTGACTACAAAGAAAGAGGCTCAGGGACAGCACCGGGACCCTGAGTTCAAGCCCTACGATGGGCAAATAAATAAATAATATTAAATAATAAAAATTTAGCTTGAGCCAGGCGCTGGTGGCTCACGCCTGTAATCCTAGCTACTCAGGAGGCTGAGATCTGAGGATTGCGGTTCAAAGCCAGCCCGGGCAGGAGAGACCGTGAGACTCCTATCTCCAATAAACCACCAGAAAACCGGAAGTGGCGCTGTAGCTCAAGTGGTAGAGCGCTCGCCTTGAGCTGAAGAGCTGAGGGACAGCCCCCGCGACCGAACAAAAAAAAAAAATTTAGCTTGATACCTGGACATCAGTGGCTCATGCCCATAATCCTAACTACCAAGGTTTGAAGCCAGCCTAGACAGAAAAATACATGAAACTGTTTCCAAAATAACCAACAGAAAGCCATCAATTGGTAGAACAACAGTCAAACAAAAAGCTGAGCAAACACTAAGCCCTGAGTTCAAACCAGTACTACCAAAAAAGAAAAAAAGTTTTTTAGCCTGAAAACCAAAGTGGAAACAAATAAGTAGGCAATATTTCAGAAAAGATGGGAGTCATTTTTGTGAGGATTGTGATTTTATTTGTCTAAAAATACCCCAGTCTTTTTTACTTATTTTTGGAAGTCTTTAAACTTTTACTATACTTTAATGCCATTAGCTATTAGTTCATATAAATATAATTTGTATCTGCATTTCAACATAAACATATGGACAATTTTGTGACTTATTCAAACCTTTTTTTTTTTTGGTATATATGCAGCCTGGGGCTTGAACTTAGGGCCTGGTATTGTCCCTAAACCTTTTTTGTTGTTGTTGTTGGTCATGGGGCCTGAACTCTGGGCTTGGGCACTGTCCCTCAGTTCTTCAGCTCAAGGCTAGTGCTCTACCACTTGAGCTATAGCAACACTTCTGGCATTTTCTGCTTATGTGGTGCTGAGGAATTGAACCCAGGGCCTCATACGTGCAAGGCAAGCACTCTACCACTGAGCCACTTTCCCAGCCCATTGTAACATTTTCATATATGCATATAATGTACCTTGCTCAAATTCACCACCTGTATAACCCTTCCCTTAATCACTCCTCTCTTCTACTTTTTGTCTTAAAGCTGTCTTGCTCATGCAACATTGAGTGCCCTCTAGTGTCAGAATGTGATGCTAGGTGTGCTCCGGTGGCTCACACCTGTAATCCTAGCTACTCAGGAGGCTGAGATCTGAGGATCATGGTTCAAAGCCAGCCTGAGCAGGAAAGTCCATGAGACTCTTATCTCCAATAAACCACTAGAAAACTGAAAGTGTCACTGTGGCTCAAGTGGTAGCTAGCTAGCCTTGAGCTGAAGAGCACAGGGAAAGCGCCCAGGCCCAGAGTTCAAGCCCCACAACCGACAAAAAAAAAAAAAGGAAAGGAAAGAAATTAATTCTTTAAGGAATTGGCATCTGAACAAAAAACGAAATCAAGAAATTTAGTATTTTAAGATTTGATGGATAGATCAGGAGGTAGAGCACCAACTATGAGCAATAAAGTCAAGTAAGAGTTTGAGGCCTGGGTTGGGAAGGTGGCTCCGTGGTAGAGCACTTGCCTTGCATGCTGAGGCCCTAGATTCGATTCCTCAGAACCACATAAGCAGGAAAAAAAAGCCGGAAGTGGCACCGTGGCTCAAGTGGTAGAATGCTAGCCTTGAGCTGAAGAGCTGAGCGACAGCGCCCAGGCCCAGAGTTGAGGCCCCACGACCAGACCCCCCCCCCAAAAAGAAAAGAGTTTGAGGCCCTAAGCTAAAGCCAGCATGAAAGAAAAAGAAGAAAAAACTGGCTTCCAGTGGCCTCATTCTTATCATACTAGCTATGCAGGAGGCTGAGATCTGAGGAAGCCAGTTCCAGACTAGCATGGACAGACAAATCTGAAAGACTGATATCGACAATTAATCAGCAAAAAAGCTGGAAATACAAGTGTGTAGCTCATGCCTCTAATCCAAGCTACTAAGGAGGCTGAGATATGTGGATCTCAGTTCGAAGCCCTCTCAGGTGGAAAAGTATGTGAGATGCTTATCTCAAAAAAAATGTAAGTGGCTCTGTAGCTTAAGTAGTAGAGTCCTTGCCTTGATCAAAAGAAGCTCAGGGACAGCACTCAGGTCCAAAAAGCCTCAGGAGCAGCAAAAAGAAAAAAAAGTGTGTGGCTGAGGTGGTAAAAGTGCAAGGCCCTGAGTTCAAGTCCCAGTACATACACATACACACATGCACACACATGTGCACACAGATGAAATGTTTAATGTAATGCTTAACATTTAACCAAAGCAATTCTATATCTAGAATTCACTCTGAGAAAGTAATATAACAAATTTGATTGATAATCTCTGTCATTTGGAGTCCATTGCATCTCCTTCAGCAACCAACTAGACAGGAACATACACAAAAGACAGAAAGAGAATGAATTAAAAATCAGTCTTTTTTTATGTACGTAGACACAAAAGTCCTCAATAAAATACTTGCTATTTGAATTGCATTATGAGCAGCATTATATATAGGAAATAAACACTAAAAATTTCTAAAATAAAGGCATAGCCAAATAAGTTACAAAATAAATTATTTTTATTGAAAGATCTTCAGCAAGGGGAGAAATGAATAAATATATTTTATTATAACTTTTTTTTTTTTTGTCTGTCATGGGGTCTGAACTCTGGGCCTGGGCACTGTCCCTCAGCTCTTCAGCTCAAGGCTCTACCACTTGAGCCACAGCGCCACTTCCAGCTTTTTCTGCTTATGTGGTGCTGAGGAATTGAACCCAGGACCTCATACATGCAAGGCAAGCACTCTACCACTGAGCCACCTTCTTAGCTCTATTTTATAACATATAATTAGTTATAGTATATATACATATATATCCCTTTCTACTTAATATTTGTTTTCACGTGTGTTTATAAAGATGAAAAAAGAAGAATAAATACTGAATATTAGAATCGATTTTCTCTGTCTAGAGGAAATAATGATCAATTTTTTTCACTTTTGAATCTGTATTTTGGTTTTCGCTGTACCCAACATGTACAGAGAAACATTAAAAAGTAACAGCTTTCTATAAAGACTAGGTCAAAGCCCAACAAAATCAGCCAGAAAATGGGTACATGCAAGGAGGATGGGATAGACAAATGAAGGAGGAGGGGGGAGGAATGCAGTCAAGAATTCACTGTAGGGCTAGGATGCAGCTCAGTGGTAAAGCACCTGCCTAGCAAGTACAACATCCTGGGTTCAATCTCCAGTACCAAAAAAAGAAAAGAATATATATATATATACACACACACACACACAAGTCATTGTATGTACCACAAAATTAAGGAAAGTAAGGGGGCGGTGGAAGGGAGGTGAAAATGTTGAAGAGGGGGCATTGCATTCATAAACTGCTGTGTTAGTGGCACCTCCCTTGTACAGCTACTTAAAGATAATTTTACAAATTAAAGGAAAAGTAAATAAATATGAGAACCAAATACCAATAAATAAACAAACTGCTCTCACACTGGGTTGTGTAGTATAGCTAGATCCTATAATGAGCTGTTAATTTGTCCTTAATTCCTGTGGACAAAAGACTGATGGATAAATACTTTTGTAGCCCAACTGCAGAGGTTACACATCGAAATCGAGAATCTCCGAGAGGAGAAGGATGATGAAATCACGAGCACTAGAGATGAATTGCTTAGTGCACAAGATGAAATTTTGCTCCTTCATCAAGCAGCAGCAAAGGCTGCCTCTGATCGAGATGTTGACGTTGTTTCTTTACAAGAAGAGCTTAAGAAGGTGCGAACTGAACTTGAGCAGTGGCGGAAAGCAGCATCTGAATATGAGAAAGAAATTGCCAGTCTGCAAAACAGTTTTCAAGTCAAATGCCAACAGTGTGAGGACCAGCAGAGAGAGGAAGCAACTAAGTTGCAAGGTGAGGAAATGTATTTTACATAAATCTCTTTATTCCTTCCCCAATCCTTCACTATATTACCCAGGCTGGGCTCGAATTCCTGGGCTCAATTGATCCTCCTAACTCATTCTCAACAACTATGTGCTTCACCTGACTTTCTCTTAACAACAATTTGATTTGTACAAATCAAATTTGTCTCTTGATAGCAATCAGTTATATAATTGATTGAGTTTTACTATAGCTTCAATTACATAATTGATCTTTACTACTAGATCTGTGTATATATTCTTGAAGTCTATAAGTTCTGTAATAAATTTTAATTTTTTATAATCTTATTCCAGCTAATACTGTTAAAGTTATTTGTCTCAGTACAGTAATGTGGAAAAACACTACTCAAATTTAAAGTGATAGAGCTTCTTTGTTGTATAGATGCAGAGTAACAGGAATCAAAGAAATCTGCTTGTTTTTAAGGGGGAGGGAGTGTATCCTCTGAAATATTTCCTTTCTCCTTTAGATTATGATAGAATTTGTGTTCCTATATTAACAGATGTGTTTGGGGATTCTTTTAGGTGAACTGGAGAAGCTGAGAGAGGAATGGAATGTATTGGAAACCGAATGCCATTCTTTAAAAGAGCAAAATGTTTTGCTATCATCAGAACTGCAGCGGCAAGAAAAAGAATTGCACAAGTATGCAAAAACTTTATTTTTTAGCTTCAAAATATTTATCTTCAACTTTTATCTAAGTTCAATTTAATTTTTATATTTAAATACCTTTCGGAAACAAACTATCAGCCCAACTCTGATTATCTAGCAGGCTAATCATACTAAATAAGTGCTTCATTGTTTTTCCTGTCATCATCACCATCCTACATGATCTTTCCTCTTGGTCTACCTGTAGACTATAGACTCATTAAATTCTCCCTTCCACCCCCACCCACCCAAAGCCCTGAACAGTAGAGTTTATATTTAGTAACTGAGCTTGTCTTATAAACTAAATAACAATAAATTTCAAATACAAATAATTTTTTCTTTGACACCAGTGACCCTTGGATGAAATTCAGCTTCTGAATTTCAAAGAGGGTGAGACTAGGGATATAGATCACTGGCACAGTGCTTATGTCTGGGTTTGATCCATAACACCACCAAAAAAAAAAAAGTAGATTTCAAACTGCTGTGTGAAAAACAGTAATATAAGCAGGGCACCAGTGGCTTGCTTATGCCTGTAATCCTAGCTACTCTGCAGCCAGAGATCTGAAGATCAAGATTCAAAGCCAGCTCTGGCAGGAAAATCCATGAGACTCTTACCTCCAATTAACCTCCAGAAAACCAAAAGTGTAACTGAGGCTCAAAGTGGTAAAGCACTAGCCTTAAACAAAAAAGCTCAGGAACAGAGCCCAATCCCTGAGTTCAAACCCCACAACTGACCCCAAAAAGATAGATAGAGCTGTAGACTAGCGCTCTATCACTTGAGCCTTAGCCCCACTTCTGGCTTTTTCTGCTTATGTGGTGCTGAGGAATCGAACCCAGGGCCTCATGCATACATAGCAAGCACTCTACCACTGAGCCACCTTCCCAGCTCCGAGATCAAGAATTCTCTAAAGCCAGTTAAATCTTTCTAGTACCTTGGAAGTAAACTGATAAATAGTTTAGACTTTGAACAACTCTATAGTGTGCTCTATATAGTTTTTTGTTTTTTTTTTTTTTTTGTCGGTCATGGGGCTTGAACTCGGCCTGGGCGTTGTCCCTCAGCTCTTCAACTCAAGGCGAGCGCTCTACCACTTGAGCTACAGCGCCACTTCCTTGAACAACTCTATAAACAATGTTTGCATTCTAATTCAGTTATGAAAGCAGTACATATTTCTTATGAAAATTCAGTCTCAACACTCTCTCCCAGCTTACCAAAAGTAAGCTTTCTTGTTACATTTGTGTTCCTACTTCTAGAGAGCATTTTAAGGTTAGCAAAACACAAAATAAGCCTTAGGAGAAAATAACAGATACGAGACTAGATAACTCAGAAAGTAGTCATCTTTATTATGTATTAAAATAATTGCAGTATTGATTTTGTTTTTGTTTTTGGGGTCCGGTTGTGGGACCTGAACTCTGGGCCTGGGTGCTGTCCCTCAGCTCTTCAGCTCAAGGCTAGTGCTCTACCACTTGAGCCATAGTGCCACTTCCGGCTTTTTTTTTCCTTTTGCTTATGTGGTGCTGAGGAATCGAACCCAGGGCCTCAGGCATGCAAGGCAAGCTCTCTACCACTGAGCCACCTTCCCAGCCCTTGATTTTTAAAATTACAATATTGATATAAAAAAACTAGAACTAGTTGGAGGAATATCTATTCTCCAAAGCTCCACATAATACCTGGTACTCTCAATATAAGTATCTATTAAGGACTTCTGTTTTGTTTTCTCTTCCAATGTCATAATTTCCCTTAGTCTTTTACATATTATAAGTGATTACTTTGTGTGTGTGTGTGGTGTGTGGTGTGTGTGTGTGTGTGTGTGTGTGTGTGTGTGTGTGTGTGTGTGTGTGTGTGTGTGTGTGTGTGTGTGTGCGCGCCAGCTGTCACTGGGCTTGTTTGCTCAAGGCTAGAGCTCTACCACGCTACAGCTCTGCTTGTAGCTTTTATGCTGGTTAATTGGAGGTAAGTGTCACAGACTATCCTTGTGATCCTCAGATCTCAGCCTCCTGAGTAGTTAGGATTACAAGTATAAGCCACCAGTGTGTGTATTATTTTCTGAATGTGTAAAGTTTATAAAAAGTCATTTTAAAATGTGATTAATCAGAACAAAATAAAGGCCAAAAATGTGTGTATGTGAGAGAGAGAGACTAGTCATCTGTGTAGCATCACTTTTGACAAATTGCATGTAGTAAAATGTGTATAAAATGATATTAGGGCTGGGAATGTGGCTTAGTGGTAGAGTACTTGCCTAGCATGCATGAAGCCCTGGGTTCAATTCCTCAGTACCACATAAACAGAAAAAGCTAGATGTGATACTGTAGTTCAAGTGAAAGCCTTCAGCAAAAGAAGCTCAAAGACAGTGCGCAGGCCCTGAGTTGAAGCCTCAGTACTGGCCAAAAACAAAAAGATACATTAATTGTATCAAGGAGTTTCACCATGGCATTTTATACATACATATACTGTATTATAATCAGAATAGTTCCTTATGTTTCTCACTCTTTTACCATCTCCCTAGTCCCCTGTTGTTTAACAAATATCATCTCAGAAAATGTTTATTCAAAGAATAAAGTACACTGAGTAAGTAACATGTTCAACATCCCACAGGTGAACAGTGGCAGGGCCAGGTCTAGATCCTGTCTCCTAGTTCTTTGTGCTTCCCATTTGTCTTTACTTGAGTTAGCAGTGGCTCCTGTGCTTTTAGTTCCTGACCCCCATCCTATTTGTCAAGTATTTAACCTGATAAGAAAATAGTTGAGCCAGGTGCCAGTGGCTCACACCTGTAATCCTAGCTACTCGGGAGACTGAGATCTAAGGATCATAGTTCAAATCCAGCCTGGGAAGGAAAGTCCATGAGACTCTTATTTCCAGTTAACCACCAGAAAACTGGAAGTGGTGCTGTGGCTCAAGGGGTAGAGCTTTCTCCTTGAACTGAAGAGTTCAGGGACAGCTCCCAGGCCCAGAGTTCAAGCCCCATGACCGAGAAAGAGAGAGAGGGCTGGGAAGGTGGCTCAGTGGTAGAGCACTTGCCTTGCATGCATGAGGCCCTGGGTTTGATTCCTCAGCACCACATAAGCAAAAAGAAAAAAAAAGCCGGAAGTGGCGCTATGGCTCAAGTGGTAGAGCGCTAGCCTTGAGCTGAAGAGCTGAGGGACAGCGCCCAGGCCAGAGTTCAGGCCCCACGAACGGACACACAAAAAAAAAAAAAAAAGAGAAAGAGAGAGAGAGAATAGTTGAAAGCTGGTGCTGGTAGCTCACGCCTGTAATCCTAGTTACTCAGGAGCTGAGATGTAAAGATTGTGATTTGAAGCCAGCCCCAGCAGAAAAGTCTGTGAGTCTTTTACCTCCAATAAACTAGAAAAGAAGAAAAGGCCAGAAATGGTGCTGTGGCTCAAGTGGTAGAGTGCTATCCTTGAGCCTCTTAAGAAGTTCAGGGATAGCACCTTGGCCCTCAGTTCAAGCTCTAGGAATAGCAAAAAAAAAAAAAAAGGAAAATAGTAGAAATAAGTGTATTTTTGTGTATTTGTGAGACAATATGTCAAATATACAATTATTTCTGTTTTAAATTTTTTTGCCTTTATGAATATTTGATAGGACATAGCTATACACTGTAGGGGTATTTTTGTTATTTTTGCCAGTACTAGGGTGTGAACTCAGGGCCTCAAGCTCCTGCTCAGCTTTTTCACTCAAAACTGTTACTCTTGAGCTACATTTCTATTTCCATTTATTTTCTGGTTATTTGGATATAAGAATCTCTCAGACTTATCTGCCCAGACTGGCTCTGAACTGCATTTCTCAAATCTCAGCCTTCTGAGTAGCTGGAATTCTAAGCATGAGCCACTGGTCTGAGCTTTGTAGGGTAGTATAATAAATAGTAATAATAATAAATAAATAATAAATAGTAAAAATAGTATTTTGGTGCTTTCTACTTATTTGAAATGTCTTATTCTCTTTTTTTTTTCTTCTTCATATTTTTTCCTCCTCTGATATCCACTACATCTTACCTGGTGAAATGCTTAAGAAACTAAACTTCCATGTCTAGTTCCTGCCTGTTAATAACCACTTGTCAATGTTTACATCGCAGTTCTCAAAAGCAGAGTCTAGAGCTTACAAGTGATCTGAGCATCCTTCAGATGACCAGGAAAGAGCTTGAGAACCAAGTGGGATCCTTGAAAGAACAACATCTTCGAGATTCAACTGACTTAAAGACTCTTCTCTGTAAGGCTGAAAACCAAGCAAAGGATGTACAGAAAGAGGTAAAGCGAAAAGACATTATGAGCCCTATTGTGGTTGGACTTAAAGCCAAAAGCAAATCAAATATCCATGCTAGTTAGAAATGAAGGGAAGCAGAAGTCACATTACCTGTTGACATGTGGAACATCACTGTGTGGGGATTTTTAGCTGTGTACGATGGTCCATATATGGAGAATTCATTAGGAAGCTTCAGCTTCAAAAATACAAAAACATGAAATTGCATTTTAATGTTTCCTTATCACTTAATATGAGAAGCTTTTTGAATCAGATCACTTGATTCATTATTTAGTTCTCAAAGACAGTGCCATATTTAGATCAAAATACTTTTGAAAAGGAAAATGAAGATACACTACTAGAGCCATGTCTTCTAGTGAGACTAGACTAGATTCTAAGTGCGAATTCACGTCATAGCCAAGCATCCAAACACATGCTATGGCTGCTTACTTTCCCCACACACATACCCCAAATATATATACACAGTTTTTATGTCATTTTGCTGAAAATCTTAACTTGGGTAGCTTTGTCATGTTAAGGAAGCTTGAGAAAAAATAATATTAGCCAGTGGCTAGTGACTCCTGCCTATCATCCTAGCTACTCAAGATGCTGAAATTTGAGGATCATAGCTTGAAGTCAGCATAGGCAGAAAAAGACTTCATCTCCAGTTAACTAGCAAAATGCTAAACTGGCCTGGTGTTGGTGGGCTCACACCTATAATCCTAGCTATTTAGGAGGCTAAAATCTGCGGATCTCGGTTTGAAGCCATCTTGGGCAGAAAAGTCCATGAGACTCTTATCTCTAATAAACTACTCGAAAACGGCCACAAGTAGTGCTGTGGCTCAAGTGGTACAGTGCTAGCCTTGAGCACAGAGAGGCTCAGGGACAAAACCTAGGCCTTGAGTTCAAACCCCAGGACTGGCACAAATTAAAAAAAAAAACTAAACTAGAGATGTGACTCAAGTGATAGAGCACATATCTTGAGAAAACAACAACAACCAAGCAAGAAGCTGGGCACCAGTGGCTCATGCCCATAATCCTAGCTACTCAGGAAGCTGAGATCTGAGGATTGTGATTCAAAGCCAACCCAGGTATGAATCTGTAAGACTCTTTGCTCGAATTAACCACCAAAAAAGCTGGAAGTAGAGCTGTGCCTCAAATGGTAGAACATTAGCCCTAAGAAGCTCAGGAACAACACTCAGGCTCTGAGTTCAAACCCTAATACCAGCACAAAAAAAAAAAAATGAACAGGAGCACAAGTCCCTGATTTCAATCCCCAGTAATCACCACTCCCGCTCCCCCCCCACCCCCACCCCCGCAAAAAAAAATTATGTTAAGGATGGTGAGGGATGACTCTGGAGTAGATGACTTGAGCAAAGCATATACCTCTCTCTTTCTCCCTTTCTTTCTCTCTTTTCTTTTGGTATCCTGGGGCTTGAACTCAGGGCCTGGGTACTGTCCCTGAAGTGTTGGTTGTTTTTTCTTTTGTGTGTGTGTGTGTGTGCTCAAGGCTAATAATGCTCTACCACTTGGGCCACAGCTCCACTTCCAGCTTTTTTTTTGGGGGGGGGGTCCGGTTGTGGGTCTTGAACTCTGGGCCTGGGTGCTGTCCCTCAGCTCTTCAGCTCAAGGCTAGCGCTCTACCACTAGAGCCACAGCGCCACTTCCGGATTTTTTCTTTTTCTGCTTATGTGGTGCTGAGGAATCGAACCCAGGGCCTCATGCATGGAGGGCAAGCACTCTACCACTGAGCCACCTTCCCAGCCCCCACTTCAAGCTTTTTGGTAGTTTATTAGATTTAAGAGTCTCAAAGACTTACATGCCAGGGCTGGCTTTGAACCATGATCTTCAAATCTCAGCTTCCTAGTAGCTAGGATAACAGGTGTGAGCCACTAGTTCCTGGCTCAGATACTTTTTCTTGAAGTGGGCAATTGGGCTGTAAGAGCTGAGATAATTCCTGGATTCATATCCAGGTGGGGAATGCAAAAGGCTGATAAGTTAATCTGCTCATCAGGTATATATCCTAACTATGGACTTCACTTAAAAGAAAGATTTAAAAAAAAAGAATAAATTGGAAGGAAGTTAAACTCTCACCTTTAATAGTGAATTTTTCCAAATTTGTTTTTAGAAGATCTGTTTAATCACTGCAACTTTTCTTTGCACTTACCTTAAAGTGTTTTAAATTTGGGAATGAGTATTGTTCTTCTGTCTTTATGTTTGTTCCTAAAGAAAAAACTGTAACTTACTTTATTTACATGTAGACATGTTGATTCTGTAATGTGTTTGTCTTTTCCTTACTGAAGATATATGTGTTTTAGGAGAAATCTCATTTATTTATAACACAAATTTTGTGCCAAAGAGCATACCCTAATATTTAATACTGTAAGCACTTTGTGTTCTTCCAACCCACATGCCATACTTCTTCCAAAATTTGGGAAGAATATTGTGATTGGAAGGTAATTCTCTTGTATATTACTGTGGATGCATTAGACATTTTGTTGCATTATTTAGTTATTTGCCTGCTTTTGGTCACTGAACAATCAGTTGCAGGATGCTTCTAATGTTCCATACATGGCAGTGGCATGTTGTCACAGCATCTAAATTGTTGATAGTCTTGGATTGCATTAAATGCAGCACATTTAAAAACATGTCTGAGCTTGTCAATATGTTTCTTTCTTACTTGTTCACTGTTTTCCATTGTGAAATGATTTCTAGTCATCATATTCCTTTGTAATGTGAAATTATTCTGATTGTCCTAATGTTAACATATTGGATGCTAGTCTGTAACTAAAGTATTCTTTAATGAGGTTCTCACAAGTATGTAAACCACTACAAATATATAAACTACCTTTTAGTATTGCACACTTACCCCCCTTCACTTTGCCTTTGTTCTCCTTTTCTCATAGACTTACGCTTAAAATGCACAGTGTCATGATTATGTATCTTCAGCACTGTAACAAACTAAACTATTAAAAGCCCAGATTATCTTTATGAAGAAGAACCAAAGTGTTGGTAATATTACATGACATTTCTCTCTTAATCAGGAACAAACTCATTTCTGACCTCAGAGTTAGAAAGCAAGATGCAACAAAAAGTCTCTAAGGGCTAGGAATGTGACTTAGTTGTAGAGTGCTTGACTAGCATGCATGAAGCCCTGGGTTCGATTCCTCACTACCACATAAACAGAAAAGGCCAGAGGTGGTACTATGGCTCAAGTGGTTGAATGCTGGCCTTGAGGAAAAAGAAGCTCAGAGACAGTGCGCAGGCTCTGAGTTCAAGCCCCAGGGCTGACCAAAAAAAAAAAAAGTACCTAAGCAAGGTGTGAAATTCAGCCTGCAGAAGGTGACCTTTGTCCTGCTAATTAAATTTGATGCATGTGACAGCGTTAGTATGAAGTTAACAGTCAAAAAGTATGAGAAAAGTATATTTTAGTGCTCAATATTAAAAGAAAAGATGGTATATCATCTTTAGATTTGATTTTAGAAAGTATCTTTATATTTCAATGTAGTGTGAATATCTGTAATTTAAGAGTTTGTCTGGGCCTCATACCTGGAAATCCTGAGGCAGTAGGATCAAGGCCCATCTGGGGTATGTAGCAAAAAGAAATGAAACCAGGAGTTCATAAAACATTGAGCATACAAATCTGCCTTGCAAAGAAAGACTGGCTCAAGTTGTTTGCAGTGGAACCAGAGTCCTCCCCATCCCCCCCAGTGTAGGGGGTAAGCAGCAGGGTCTTCCCTACTGAGCTGCTGTCTCATGGTTCTGTTTCACAGCTCTTGGAATGGAGAAATGATTAAGTGCTTTGATATAAAGGGTAGTCTGAATGTATAAATGACAGAAAAGTAAGGGAAAAATTTGCCATCAAGCACTTCTTACTTATTCTTTACTACTCACCATTAAGAATCAGTTCATAGATCATTGAGAATTGACTATATTCTAAGGTGCCAAAACTAGTCTTAAGTACAGTGACTTTGCCTTGGCAGCCTGCCTGTAACCTTTTGCCTTCTGAAATAAATCCATATCAGCTGTTTAAAAAAAAAACACACGCAAATTTTACTCTTTAGTTTATTCTCTAATGTTCTACTAGACTTATTCTGAAAAGGTTGTCAAATAACACTGTTATATAATAGGAAATTTCTTTCATATATTCATTCACCCTTTCTGGTGACTTGTGTATTGTCTTTGAACTCTCTGTCTTTATTCCCATCTTCCTAATCTTTTAAACATCCCAACCCTTCTTAATAGTTGCTGATTTGAGCATAATGAGCTGCTAGTCACCCTAAGGTGTTTTGCATTTTTCAGCAGCACCTTTATAAAAACATCCTTCTGGCTTTTTTTTTTGGGGGGGTAGCTAATTGGAGATGACTATGGCCCATCTTTGAACTGGGATTCTCAGATCTCAGTCTCCTGAATAGGAGTATAGGTCACCCGCATCTGGCGCCAAAAGCAGGATTTTTAAAATTATTTAAAATAGATTTTAAGTGGGAAAGAAAAATTGTAAGGGACATCTACCAAAATCAGCTAACACAGCTTAATTGACTTTACTTATTTACCAACATATAAACTCAGGCTTATTTTATTTAGGCTATGAAATTTTTCTTCACCTGCTTTTCTTTTGCCTAGTTTGGAATTTTTACCCACAACTCACTTGGTGGAAAAAAATGACCTTTATATTAGATGACAACATCTGTTGATTATTCTCAACTCTTGGAGCAGAAAATTCTTACATACAATTAAGTCAACACTAAAGAGTTCTTACTAATGGGTCCAGAAGATTCTTATACTTCTTAAAATTTTAAAAAAAAATTGACTTTGGTGTTGAAGGTAACTAAATAAGGGTCTTGTATATAAGCCTAACTACGGTTAGAGGCATGACTTACGTGGAAGAGGGCCAGCCAGTGAGCAAAAGCAAGCATCAGATAGCAAGTTTGAGTCCTGGTCTGGAGGAAAAAAAGAAAAGAAAAAGAGAAGCCTAACTAGAACCATAACTTCATACCCATTTTAAGTCAAGTCTGCACACTCTTTTTTCTTTGCCTTTAGTATGAAAAGACACAGACTGTACTCTCAGAACTGAAGTTGAAGTTTGAAATGACTGAGCAGGAAAAGCAATCAATCACAGATGAGCTCAAACAATGTAAAGACAACCTGAAGCTGCTCCGAGAGAAAGGAAATAATGTAAGTCTTTGCCAACTTGGCTTAGTTTTGACTGAGAGGAAGGTGAGGAACTTTTTTCAGAGGACTTTATTACTGATTTTGGAAACTAGTGGTTAGGATTCAGGTGAAGTATATGCTTTTCATTATGAAAGTCTATGATGAATAATGTACTATCAGAGTTCATAAGAATTTGCCCCTTTAACTTGTATTCCTAAAAGGGCCTAAGGATTACCTGGAAGATGAATCTTGTTTACCATAAAACAACTTGGTCAAGAACTTTTTCCAGATGAATCTGAAGTTCTGTCACTGAAACCATCATCTGGTTATTTCTTCATTGCTAGGAAATGAAGCATTGGACCACCAGGGGCTCATATAATGGAAAGGGATCCTTAGCATGCAGTTGTATCAGAAAAGGGAAATTTAGATTTAGGAAGGTTGCCATTTAATACTAATAATGTACATTCCTAGAAAGCTTATTGTCTGAATCCTTTAAGTACTAGGAAACAATTGGTGGATTTCTGTAGGTCTTTCTAGATGTGTTTGTGAGACAGACACACAGGTTGAAAAGATAGAAGAATTTTTTAGTATAAATTGAGTTTGGAAGTATTTGTTTTTCTTTGGTAGGACAGTCTTTAAAAAGATGTTATACTAAATAAATGTCATGTTGTATGTTTTGGTGGTCACTGCCTTTTGTGGGCCCTAACTGGTGGATGTTCAGTGTTTTTGGTTGTGCTCTGACTTATTACAAAGTCTCTTACGGCTTGGACACTGCAGTGGATGTAAGCCACATGCTTCCTGTGGAAGAAGGCACTCTGCTTAACTTGCAACAAACACAAGTGCAAAAGAGTGATATTGCATGGCCATCCGATTGTGTAGTTGTATTCTGAATGCTCATGAGTTGTGTCCAGCTGTCTTTGCTTGAGTCATAGATTTTAGACAGTAAAGGATTGCTGCTTATGTAGAAGCCTTTTAGAAATTGATGAATGAGAAGGCTTTATGCTAAACAAAAATGGATTATTGCATTGTTAAAAGTAAACAACAAAATTCTAAAATTAGATCTCAGTGGTTGATTATTTTATTCTTTTGTCTTAATCCATATACCTCTGATTATAGAATTTCAGTCCACCTTCTTCTAAGTTAACCTATGAAGACATCTAGCATAGTCAGAATGGACCCCTCCCAATATATTTATTTAGTGATAAAAAAATTATATTTTACCTTAGGATGATTTTCCCTTTGTTGTGATGCTTAAAAACTCAATCAGAACTGGAGGCATGGCTCAAGTGGTAGAGATCCAACATTTCACTAAAGGGTAGCACTATACCATCCAACCAAGTGAGAGCACAAGGCCTTGAGTTCAATCTCCCCAGACTTAAATAAATAAATTTCTTCCTTCCAAATACCAAGTCCTGAGACTCATCTGCCTGTCCTTATGTACCAAGTGTTTATCATGCATTATTTCCCATTCTTGCCTGATTTAAGAAGTGCACATTAGGGCTGGGAAGATGGCTCAGTGGTAGAGCACTTGCCTTGCATGCCTGAGGCCCTGGGTTCGATTCCTCAGCACCACATAAGCAAAAAAAAGAAAAAAGCCGGAAGTGGCGCTGTGGCTCAAGTGGTAGAGCGCTAGCCTTGAGCTGAAGAGCTGAGGGACAGCGCCCAGGCCCAGAGTTCAGGCCCCACGACCGGACCCAAAAAAAAAAAAAAAAGAAGTGCACATTATCAGCTGGGCGCTGGTGGCTCACGCCTGTAATCCTAGCTACTCAGGAGGCTGAGATCTGAGGATCGCGGTTCAAAGCCAGCCCGGGCAGAAAAGTCCGAGAAACTCTTATCTCCAATAAACCACCAGAAAACCGGAAGTGGTGCTGTAGCTCAAGTGGTAGAGCGCTCGCCTTGAGCTGAAGAGCTGAGGGACAGCGCTCAAGCCCAGAGTTCAAGCCCCATGACCAACAAAAAGAAAAAGAAATGCACATTATCATAGGGCACTTTTTTAGCTTGAAAGAAATACTACCTCAAAAGCAGAAGAGTTTTAAGTGGGGAAAGAAAAAGGCTTTGATGAAGGAATAAAATAAATCTTAGCTATTGCCAAAGAAGTATATTATCCAATAATGAATTTCAGATATAGAACAAAGAATAAAATACTCTGAATCAGAGCATCACTTGGGGAAGAGCTGTCATTGCTCTGTTTTAATGTGTGCTGTGTTTCATTAGGGTACACATAATGACCTTTTAAATTGATAGTTTACAAACCTAAGAGTTTGTCCTTCTAGATTGTGTTAGATGTCTTTAAAATGTTTGAATCAGTGCAAAACCTGAGTGACTGATACACTTCTATTACTCAGTCTTCCTTTCCTTCCTCCCACCCCCTTGGGGTCTAAATCATCTTATCTAATTTTTTCATAGCATAAAATGATTTTAATATCCCTTCCCTTCTTTAGCCTTCCATATTACAACCCGTCCCAGCCGTATTCATCGGCCTATTCCTGGCTTTCCTGTTTTGGTGTTTCGGTCCATTGTGGTAGAGAAAGGTACAAGCACTACTGTTGAGTCCTTGTGTGTGTGTCCCCGTCACCTGTTTGTGCCATATTTGTAATATAGTGCATGGCAAAACCACACGGGTGTTTTGTTAGCTGAAGCAAACCCTTCATTTAGTATGCCATGTATTTGTGTCATACCAATGAACAATCAACTAATCATGTAACATTTTGTCTTGTTTCCTTTGTAGTAATGCTAACCACAAATTAATTCCAACGTAACCAGTTATTAATATGCTTCCTTTAACTAAGTCTTTATCTCTAGCAAACTGGAGTAAACAATAAATTTCAACAATATTAGTATCCCCTTCCCAGTTATGTGTTTATTCAGATTTGAATGAGAAAATGAAGAGTTTGCATCTTTGAAGTTTTTAGCGGCTTTCTTCTCCCTCCTTTCTTCCCTCTTACCTTCTTATAGTATAGAATTTTTTTTTTGTTTCAACTATTTGCCTGTTTCCTCTCTGGCTATGCATATAATATGAAAGACATTAGAAGATACAGTCCTCTGAAAGTTAACAGAGAATAGGCCATCTATGCTAGCCTCTAACTGGCACATGTATGAGCAGAGCATATGAAATGATCACGTGACTTCATTGCATTAGGCAAGATCTTTAACAGAAGCATCAGAGGACCTGCTAATGACATTTTCCATCCCAGCTCTGCCCTGTTGTCCCGTGGTTTCAAGTTAGAGAATCAAAGCCCAGACCATTTTCTCTCAGTCAAGACCATTTTCTATCACCTTAACCACAAGCCTCTGTATAGAACTATCCCAAGACATGAGTCTGATGTTCATCAAGAAATAAACACTTTAGGCAGAAACATACAGCAGGCATTGGAATCTGTGGATGTCAGAATAAATAGAGCAGGCAAACCTTGAGGGTAGAAGACACAGAAAACTGCCCAGGTTTTTCCTGGGATGTTTTGAATTTCCCAGGAATGGTCCTGCTATTACAGCCCTCCTTTTCGGCTCTCTTCTTTCCTCCCCCCCCCCCCACTTTATGCTTACAATGCAAGGACAAGATTTTTCCAATATTCTGTTAAACATTCAGGACTCTCTGGAACCAAAGGGTTAATAGGTATGGAAAGAGGGGAGAATGTGCTATTGACTCTTGGTTTCTTTCCACACAGAAACCCTGGCCCTGGATGCCCATGTTGGCTGCCCTGGTTGCGGTGACAGCCATCGTGCTGTATGTGCCAGGTCTGGCCAGAGCTTCTCCATGAGAGTGTTTCTTGAGTCTGTACACCGTCCTCCCTCTAGAAGCGGCATCACACTCATGCTGGGGACAGACAGAACCATTTTCTTCCTTTTTACCTCTTAAGTCAGCAAAGTGCAAGAATACAGCTATAGGGTCATTGCTTTAAATTATATAAAATGTATCTGTCTATAGAAAGGATATAAAGTGTGACTTTATTCTATTGTAAGCAATAATTTGCTTGCAATTTTTCATGTAATTTTTAAATTAGTATGTTGAGATTCTGAATATTATGGTGGCCTAAAGTAGGCTTCTTGGTACACCAAATTATTTATACCATTAAATTTATGGGTATTTTACTCTGAATTCTGATGGCCAGATAATTCATTTTTCTGATTCGATGACAACCCAAACCAAACAACCAATACATACATGGGAAGAGAGGCCCTGTGTGCTCAGTGCCTATCAGTTTGAAATGTATACACATATATATAGATATATTTTTTACATATTTACGCCATTTTTACTTGTTATAAAACCACTGAGCTATTGGGAACAAGATTTAGAGACAACTATTTGTGTGAATTTTTTTTAAAGGAAAAATACATTTGGATAATATTCTGTTATAGTGATAATTTGGGGAATATGTGCACATTTGTTCAGCCTTAATGTGACTTGAAGATGTAGAGGACATCAACTTAGAAAAACTTTCCATGAGAGTGTGTATTTTCTTGAGCAAACTGAAGTATTTCGGGAGCAAAAACAGTAATTACACAATTTCAGTGCAGTCAACCAAACTGTTGAGTCAATTGGAATGTAACTTATTAAACCTCATGTATTTAAAGAGATATTTTCCTTAAAAGCCAAGTTACTTTCTCATATACAACATTTTAGAAAGCATGATTTTTTTTCTGTCATCTTTTCCTCCAAGCATGTTTAATCGAAGAAAGAATGATATCTTTTTAGATAAGCTTTTATTGACTTAATTTGGTTATGATGTTTCCGAATTAATTCACATCAAGGTGAGCTGTTACCTACCCACAGATTTCCGGTCAGGTATGCAAATGGTTATTTTCTTTTTGTTGTTGTTAATTGGGACTTTTCTGTTCATTAGAAGCACTGTTCCCAAGATTGGTAGTGTTCCATGCACAGTGAAGCACCTAAACACTGCTTGATGTTATAAATTTGAAAACACAGAAGTGAAAGCTTAGCTATGGCGTTGTGCAGCACCATAGTTATGTCAGTAAAGTTTATTTAGGTCATAGAATGTCCTAAAGTATCACATAGTTAAAGTTTTCAGTCAGTAAAGACTGGGAGGGAAAGTCAGTGAATTGGATTCGATGTTCTGTGGAAATACATAGATCTAGGCAGATATTGAAACGGGAGTTTAGGATATAATTTGCCTTGTGATGTTTGACAGTCATTGTTTATATTTTAAAAGTTATGTTTTTAAGCTACTTGGGATTGTGTTGGGAGGATCACTAGGTTTGTGGAGGAATTAGTCACAAATGACTTATAGAAAATACTGTCATATAGTTGATTTCATCATTTTCTGTTGCAGGAAGCCACTCCACCACAGAATGCTAATATGCCAGTGGTACCCAGTACCTCTTGTATATAGGTTATTGCAAATATTGTTCTGAAATGCTTAACTTCAAAATTACATTTTTTAAAGTAAATAATTGTTTGAAATCTATTTTGTAAAGATATAAAGTACAATAGAATTTCTGGAGTACAGATTAAACTATTTGCACTAACACACGTGATGTGCATGATTTAATAAAATAACTTTACTCTCCCTATTCATGTTTTGGATATCATTGAAATTCTTACTACGGACTCTACTGTTTGATTGTTCATAGTCTTTGCTTGAAGTGGCTGTATGCAACATAATATATTGGCATTCTTCTAATTCATTTCTGAGATCTGAGGATTGCAGTTAGAAGCCAGCCTGGGCAGGAATGTCCATGAGACTCTTATCTCCAGTTAATTGGTCAAAAGCTAGAAATGGAGCTGTGGCTCAAAATGGTTGAGTGCTAGCCTTGAGCACAAAAGCTCAAGAATAGGGCCCAGTCCCTGAGTTCAAGCCCCAGGACCAGGACCAAAAAAGAAAATAAAATGCAGAGTTGTTTCCTCTGAGTTAGATTAGCCTTTTATTTAACTTCTCTAATTTTTCTCCTTTTGCTGGGAAGATGGCTCAGTGGCAGAGTGCTTGCCTCTCATGCGTGAGGCCCTGGGTTTGATTCTTCAGCACCACATAAGCAGAAAAAGCCAGAAGTGGCGCTGTGGCTCAAGTGGTAGAGTGCTAGCCTTGAGCTGAAAGAGTTGAGCGACAGCACCCAGGCCCAGGGTTCAGGCCCCAAGAGCAACAAAAAAAAAAAAAAGTTGAATAACCCACCAGGCACCAGTGGCTCACACCTGTAATTCTAGCTACTTAGGAGGCTGAGATCTGAGGATGAGTTTGAAGCCAGCCTGGGCAGGAAAGTATTTACTGTTATTATAAAGGTGATGTACAAAGAGGTTACAGTTACATAAATCAGAGAAAGAATGCGTTTCTTTTTGGACAATGTTACTCTCCCCTTGCCAGGAAACTTTAACGCCAATAATCTACCCAAAAAAGCCAGAAGTGGAGCTTTGGCTCCAGTGATAATGTTAGCCTTGAGGGAAAAAAACTCAGAGACAGTGCTCAGGCCCTGAGTTCAAGCCCTAGAAAGATCATAAAAATTTGTAATAATTTAATAACCCTACTATGTATATTTAGGAATTATTTGAAAGTGTTACATAATGTGGTTAGAAAAGAATTGTGTTGTCATCTTGCCTCTGCCTTTTAGTGGCTTTGTTACTGGGGTAAATTATTTCTTAGTCTCCATTTCCTCATCTATGTCTTTAAAATGTGGCAAATAAGACTTTTTATTTGTGGTATTACTGTGAAAATTAAAAATATATGTGAAGAAATATGCTTAGTTGGATAATGAGCCAATTGCCCACCATAGTTTAGAATTCCAATGTAATCATGTTCAGGGCCACTTTGCTCACTGGTGTAGTATAGACCATTCCCAGCACAGTATGAGGTTTTCAACCAGAACTAGTAGTGCATGGGTCTATCTTCAGATATGACCCCCAGTTTCTTTGGCTTCTTCCAGTGATTATATATCTACTTCCAAAAGGATTGAAATCTGCTACCAAGAAGAAGAAGAAAAACAAATCTGCATGTAAATCAACTAGGTTTAAAAATATACCCTTGCTCCAAAAATTTTATTTCTGTAAATACACTTTGAGAACATAATCATGCACACAACATTTTAACTACCAGGACATCTAGCACAAAATTTTTGTAACAATAACAGATAACTCACCTAATTATCCGACAGTAGGTTATTGGTTAATTAATATTGACTATGCTTACATAGTGTGTGGGAAGAGAATTCCTACTATATTAAGTAATAAAAACAAATAACAAGTGTCAAATAACCCTAGTTTTAAAGAGTAAAACAATGTAGATATACATGGTATGTTCACAGCAGGGGGACTTGAAATGATTTATACCCAGACAACGATAGTGGTTGTCTTTCCATAGCTGTGTGTAAACTCTTTCCTTTTATGACTCCTGATTTACTTTGACTAGTAAATATATGGTGCTTCTGTGAATGTAAAAAAAAAAATATTATTTGAAGCCAGGGTTGGTGGCTCATGCCTATAATCCTGGCTACTCAGGAGACTGAGATCTGAGGCTCACAATTCAAAGCCAGCCTGGGCAGGAAAGTCTGTGAGACTTTTATCTCCAATAAACCACTCAGAAAACAGGAAGTGGAGCTGTGGCTCAAGTGTAGAACACTAGCCTTAAACTGAAGAGCTGAGGGACAGCTCTTAGGCCTAGAGTTCCAGCCCCACAACCAAGAACAACAACAAATATTTAAAGGGCTGGGAAGGTGGCTCAGTGGTAGAGTGCTTGCCTCGCATGCCTGAGGCCCTGGGTTCGATTCCTCAGTACCACATAAGAAAAAAGAAAAAAGCCGGAAGTGGTGCTGTGGCTCAAGTGGTAGAGTGCTATCCTTGAGCTGAAGAGCTGAGGGACAGTGCCCAGGCCCAGAGTTCAGGCCCCATGACCGGGCCAAAAAAAAAAATTTTTAAGCCAGGACTGGTGGCTCAAACCTGTAATTCTAGCTACTCAGGAGGCTGAAATCTGAGGAGGATCATGGTTCACAGTCAGCCTTGGCAAGAAAGTCCATAAGATTCTTATCTCCAATTAACCAACAGAAAACAGGAAGTAGAGCTGTGGCTTAAAGTGGTAGAGCACTAGCCTTGAGTGAAAAAACTCAAGGGACAGCGCCCAGACCTAGAGTTCAAGTCCCACTACTGACAAAAAAAAAAAATTACTTGATTTTTGCTCTAAGTTAGAAACAAAAAGATTCCATATGGTTTTTAGAATTGAATGGGTAACTAAATTGCCAAAGTACTTGTCTAAAGGAGTTAATGTTCATTTGTATTTATAAATTCCAGTTGCCATTTAATAATTACTGTACTTGTAAACATGCTTTATATGTGTATACATAGAATTAGAATGCTAGAAACCTTTAGTGATGTAGTCTCACCTTTTGCAGAGTTTTTTACTTGGAATTATAATAATAAAGTTGAGAACCAAGATGTTCTCTTTTTTCCTGCTCCTCTCCAGGTTTCAATGGCTGTGTATCTATTTATTTAGCAAATACTGAATATTTGATATGAGGTACTGTCCAGATCCTGGCAGGGCTCAGTCTCTATTTTCAGAGAGCTTTGAACATAGGGGAAATGCCGACTCTAGGGACTACACACTCTAGGGACTACAGTCCAGTAGAAGACCAGGAGCTGTGGAGACACAGAGAAAGAGTGTGCTTCCTCTCAATGTCACCCACAGCCAAGGTTATCCAGCCGCGGAGCCAAAGGTGAGTTGTGGAGGAACAGAACAAAACTGGTTTCTCTTGAAGTACTTGACTTTAAAACCCATTAAGGGGGGGTGGGAATGTGGCTTAGTGATAGAGCACTTGCCTAGCATGTATGAGGCCCAGGTTTTGATTCTTCAGTACCACATACACAGAAAAAAAGCCAGAAGTGGTGCTGTAGCTCAAGTAGTAGATTGCTAGTCCTGCACAAACGAAGCTCAGGAACAGTGCCCAGGTCTTGAGTTCAAGCCCCAGGAATAGAAAAACAAAAACATTAAGGGCTAAGCTTGATATTCTTGGGGAAGACATTGCAAATAGGAAGTACCTTTTTTTTTTCCAATTTTAAAACAGTTTTGGTATGTATTAAATTGTACATAGTAAGAGGGTTAGTGACATTTCCATACATCCCAACCCCCCCTCTCTGAAAGGAAGCTCCTATTGGTGGGCTGAGGCATGGATTGGATGAATAGACTGGAGGCATATGTTTACCATGTCTCAGTAGATTAGACAGCTGTGTATTTTATCCTAAAGCTAAGTATGTTTCCAGACCAGATCCTATGATATATGATATATTGCCCTGTTGTAAAAGACATTGAGATAAAACCTATCAGAAGACAGGAACACTGAGAAAAGGGACCTAGGGAGAATGGGGAGCCAGTAGAGAAACTTGGTGGTGGTTGTGCCCAGCTGGTATGTACTTCCTCCTTGTTTTAGCCCCTCTTGTATTGACCAGAGTATACTAGGTAGCTAGGCTTCATTTCCAGAAATTGTTACTTCTGTTTGGTAAAATTCCATCCTGAACTTTTTCCTTTTTTCTTTTTCTTTATTTTTTTTTTTTTGTGGGGGGAGTCTGGTCATGGGGCCTGAACTCTGGGCCTGGGCGCTGTCCCTCAACTCTAGGTTAGAGCTCTACAATTTGAGCCACAGCGCCACTTCCAGCTTTTTTCTTTTTGCTTATGTGGTGCTGAGGAATCGAACCCAGGGCCTCAGGCATGCAAGGCAAGCGCTCTACCACTGAGCCACCTTCCCAGCCCCCTTCCTTTTTTTATTTATTTTATTAATTTATTTATTTATTGGTTGGTCGTGGGCTTGAACTCGGCCTGAGTACTTTCCTTTAGCTCTTAAGCGGAAGGCAAGCACTCTACCACTTGAGCCACAGCACCAATTCCAGTTTTCTGGTGGTTAATTGGAGATAAGAGTCTCATGGACTTTCCTTTTCCTGCCTGGACTGGCTTTGAACTGCGATCCTCAGATCTTAGCCTCCTTAGTAGCTACGATTATAGGCATGAGCCACCGGTACCTGGCTCTATCTTTTATTTTTAAGGTGATAGGGCTTAAACTTGTGCCCACACTCAAACCCCTCTAGGATTTTCTTCACACTAAATTTTTGTGTGTGTTGATTTGTCTCATCATCTCATTCTATGTAAACTTTGAAGCAAATATTAACTTGATTTTTTTTTTTTTTTTTTGTCGGTCGTGGGGCTTGAACTCTGGGCCTGGGCGCTGTCCCTCAGCTCTTCAGCTCAAGGCGAGCGCTCTACCACTTGAGCTACAGCACCACTTCCAGTTTTCTGGTGGTTTATTGAAGATAGGAGTCTCACAGTCTCTGGCTGGCTTTGAACCGCGGATCCTCAGATCTCAGCCTCCTAAGTAGCTAGGATTACAGGCATGAGCCACCAGCACCCGGCGCAAATATTAACTTGAATAGCATTAGAATCCTTCCTGACATTCTTCAGGCAGACTAGGGAAGAGCTTCCCCCAGCATTGAAAACCTCTTTTATTTCCACTCCAGTCCCAGGATTCTGTCATAAGCTTCTCCAGTCAATCTGTGCATAGTTGTGTCACTTGGGGTTTTGTGAGATAATTCAACTGCTTATTTAACC